CATTTCTTCATGTTTTCTTCAACCTCTTTCAATAATGTCTTATAGTTTTCAGTATACAGGTCTTTCACCTCTTGGGTTAAATTTATTCCTAGGTATTTTATTCTTTTTGTTCTGATTGTAAATGGGATTCTATTCCTGATTTCTCTTTCTGCTAGTTCATTGTTAGTGCATAGGAATGCAACTGATTTTTTTAAATTGATTTTGTACCCTGAAACTTTGCTGTAATTGTTGATTATTTCTAACAGTTTTCTGGTGGATTCTTTAGGATTTTCCAAATATAGAATCATGTCATCTGCAAATAGCAAAAGTTTCACTTCTTCTTTTCAAAATTGGATTCCTTTCATTTCTTTTTCTTCCCTAATTGCTCTGGCCAACACCTCCAGTACTGTGTTGAATAGGAGTGGTGAGGGTGGGCACCCTGGTCTCATTCCTGTTTTCAGGGGTATGACTTTCAGTTTTTCACCATTAAGTATGATGTTGGCTGAGGGTTTGTCATATACGGCCTTTATTATGTTGAGCTACTTTCCTTTTACACCTATTTTATTCAAAGTTTTTATCACAAATGGATGTTAGATCTTGCCAAATGCTTTCTCTGCATCTATTGAGATGATCATGTGATTCCTATTCCTCAATTTTTTAATGTGATGTATCACATTGATTGATTTGCAGATGTCGAACCATCCCTGCATCCCTGGAATAAATGCCACTTGAGTGTGGTGTACAATCCTTTTAATGTATTGCTGTATTTGGTTTGCCAGCATTTTGTTGAGGATATTTGCATCTAAGTTCATCAGTGATATTGGTCTGTAGTTTTCCTTCTTTATGATGTCCTTGTATGGTTTTGGTATCAGGGTAATGTTGGCCTCATAGAATGTGTTAGGAAGTGTTCCATCTTCTTCAATCTTTTGGAATAGTTGAAACTTTGCTGTAATTGTTGATTATTTCTAACAGTTTTCTGGTGGATTCTTTAGGATTTTCCAAATATAGAATCATGTCATCTGCAAATAGCAAAAGTTTCACTTCTTCTTTTCAAAATTGGATTCCTTTCATTTCTTTTTCTTCCCTAATTGCTCTGGCCAACACCTCCAGTACTGTGTTGAATAGGAGTGGTGAGGGTGGGCACCCTGGTCTCATTCCTGTTTTCAGGGGTATGACTTTCAGTTTTTCACCATTAAGTATGATGTTGGCTGAAGGATAGGTACTAAATCTTCTTTGAATCTTTGGTAGAATTCTCCAGAGAAGCCATCTGGTCCTGGAGTTTTGTTTTTTGGGAGGTTTTTGATTACTGTTTCATTCTCTGTACTTGTGACTGGTCTGTTTAGATTCTCTATTTCTTCTTGATTCAGTTTTGGGAGGTTGTGTGAGTCTAAGAATTCATCCATTTCTTCCAGGTTATTGAATTAGTGGACATATAGTTTTTCATAGTATTCTCTTATAATCCTTTGTACCTCTGCAGTATCTGTTGTAATTTCTCCTCTTTTACTTCTTATTTTATTTATTTGAGCATTCACTCTTTTTTTCTTGGTGAATCTGGCTAAGGGCTTGTCAATTTTGTTTATCTTCTCAAAGAACCAGCTCTTAGTTTCATTAATCCTTTTTACTGTTCTTTTTTTAATTCTCTATTTCATTTATTTCTTCTCTGATTTTTATTATTTCCATCCTTCTGCTGACTTTGGGCTTTGTTTGTTCTTCTTTTTCTAGCTATATTAGGTGCATTTTAAGATTAATTATTTGAAATTTTTCTTGCTTGTTGAGGTGGACCTGTATTGCTATGAATTCCCCTCTTATGACCACTTTTGCTGTATCCCATAAGAGCTGGTATGTTGTATTTTCATTTTCGTTTGTCTCTAGGTATTTTTTAATTTTCCCATGGATTTCTCCAATGATCCCACGGTTCTTTAATAGCATGTTGTTTGGTCTCCACATATTTCTGACTTTCCCAGTTTATTTCTTGTGGTTGATTTTTAGCTTCGTAGCATTGTGGTCAGAAAAGATGGTTGGGATGATTTAAATCTTCTTAAATTTATTGAGACTTACCTTGTTTCCCAAAATATGGTCTATCTTTGAGAATGATCCACGTCCACTTGAGAAGAATGTACATTCTGCTGTTTTCAGATGGAATGTTCTAGATATATCTATTAAGTCCATCTGATCAAGTGTTTCATTTAAATCTACTATTTCCTTGTTGACTTTTTGTCTGGATGATCTACCCATTGATGTGAGTGAGGTGTTGAGGTCTCTTACTATTATTGTTTTGCTGTTAATTTCTCCCTTTAGGTCTGTTAATAATTGCTTTATGTACTTTGGTGCCCCTGTGTTAGGTGCATATATGTTAACAAGTGTTATGTCCTCTTGGTCAAATGTCCCTTTTATCATTAAATACTGCCACTCTTTGTCTCTCATTGTCTTTTTTAACTTGAAGTCTGCTTTATCTGATAAAAGTATGGCAACATCTGCTTTCTTTTGTTGGCCATTAGCTTGGAGTATCATATTCCATCCCTTCACTTTAAGCCTATGTTTGTCTTTGGAGCTGAGATGTGTTTCCTGGAGGCAGCATATTGTTCAGTCTTATTTTTTAATACATCTAGCTGATCTGTGTCTTTTGATTGGAGAGTTCAGACCATTTACATTTAGAGTGATTATTGATATATGAGGGCTTAATACTGCCAATTTATCTCTTATTTTCTGATGGTTCTATGTTTCCATTGTTTCTCTTCCTTTGCATTTCTGACTACCATTTCATTTTGGTGGTTTTCTGAGGGGGATTTCTCAGTTCCCTCTCTTTTTGTGATTTGCAGCTCTGCTCTGATTTTTTGTTTAGTGGTTACCAGGAGGGTTGTATGAAAGATATTGGATATGAGATAGCCCATTTTCTTACAGCCTCTTATCTCCATTAACCTAAGCAGGTTCCTTCCCTTTCCTCTCCCTTTCTGAGTAATTGCTGTTACAAATTGTTCTGTTTTTAATTTTGTGGGTTTGTGGCTAAGTTGAAGTATTTATCATTACTTTTGATGCTTTCTTTCCCTTTCTCTTTAAAGTTGTAATTGAGTCTTTGCCTTCCTATTCTGGTGGAGAGCTGCAGGTTTCTGATCACGTCTATTTGTCTTCTTGCTCAGAGCTTTGTAGACTTTTGCCTTTTTGTTGCCGGTATGAGGGCATCTTTAATTATTACTTGTAGGGGAGGTCTAGTGGTGATGAACTCCCTTAGCTTTTGTTTATCTGGGAAAGCTTTTATTTCTCCATCATATCTGAAGGAAAGTTTTGCTGCATAGGCTATTCTTGGCTGAAAGTTTTTGTCTTCCAGTATTTTAAAAATGTCATTCCATTCTCTCCTAGCCTGTAGGGCTTCTGCCAAGAAATCCACTGAAAGCCTGATAGAGTTTCCTTTGTAGGTTATCTTCTTCTGCCTTGCTGCTCCTAATATTTTTTCTTTATCAGAAACCTTTGCCATTTTTACTATTATATGCCTTGGAGAAGGTCTTCTAGCATTGATGAAGTTGGACATTCAATTAACTTCATTTATCTGTAAATCTGAAACCATTCCCAGGTTTGGGAAGTTCTCAGCAATTATTTCTCTGAACAAGCTCTCCACTCCTTTCTCCCTCTCTTCTCCTTCTGGAATACCTATAATCCTTATGTTGCTTTTCCTGATTGAGTCAGATATTTCTCCAAGAATTCCTTCTTTTTTTTTAAATCTTAGTTCTGTCTCCTCCTCCACCTGTAGAATTTCTACATTTTTATTATCAAGAAGACTAATTCTCTCCTCCATAAGATCACTTCTACTTCTTAATGATTCTAGTTTTGTTTTGTTTTTTTCAAAGATTGGCACCTGGGCTAACAACTGTTGCCAATCTTTTTTTTTTTTTCTGCTTTATCTCCCCAAACCTCCCCTGTACACAGTTGTATATCTTAGTTGCATGTCCTTCTAGTTGTGGCATGTGGGACGCTGCCTCAATGTGGCCTGGTGAGCAGTACCATGTCCACGCCCAGGATCCGAACCCTGGGCCGCCACAGCGGAGCACGTGAACTTAACCACTCAGCCATGGAGCCAGTCCCTAGATTATTTTTTTATTTCATTAACTGTGTTTTTCATATACAGAATTTCTACTTGATTTCTTTGATAGTTTCAATCTCTTTGGTGAAGAGAATCATTTTATTGCTAAGCTCCTTGAATTGTCTTTCCTTGTTTTCTTGTAAGTCCTTGAGTTTCCCTATGATGGCTATTTTGAATTCTCTGTCATTTAGGTTGTAAATTGCTGCATCTTCAGCATTGGTTTCTGGAGAATTGTGATTTTCCTTCTGCTCTGAATTGTTGCTGCAGTTTCTCATGGTGGTTGACGAGCTAACCTTTTGTCAGGGCATTTGTGGTATTCTTCAGACACAGATTCCATCTGTTACCTCTAGGGGGAAGCAGAAACAGTGTTTCTGGCCCCACCCTGTCTGCTGGAAGCTGTGGGGGTATTATGGGTACTTGCTGCAGCCTGGGGTGTGTTCAAGTGCTTGTGTGGACTGTCCTTTGTGGACAGAGGTTCCTTCCTGAGACTGGGGCTAGGGCCACTGCTTGGCACTGCAGGGGCCCTATGGACACCCCCTCCTCGCCAAGAAGGTGATCCTGTGCAAGCTTGAAGCTGCCGTGCCCACAGCCACCCAGACACATTCCCTCTTTTGGGGCTCGGCAGCCCTATGAGTGCTCACTGGGGGCCTGGTGAGTGCCTGCCCCAGTGTGTAGGTCTGTTTACAGTCCACGGCACCACTGTGCTTGGCAGGGGGGGGCGTCTATGCTGGGACCTGGTCTAGGGCTGCTCCTAGGCATCGCAGGGTTATGGAGGACTCCCCTCTCCACCAGGAGAGCAAGAGCAATCATGAGCATTGGCAAAGGTTACCACTATCTCCTCCTACGGTTGTCCAGGTGTGTGTTCCCACTTTCAGGGCCTTGTGCACTAAGGTGGAAAGTGTTTGTGTGGTGCACAGGGCTATGGGGGAGAGCTGGGCGTACTCACCTCTCTCTGCCACTTCCTGGGCGGCCAGTCCATCCACCCTCAGGTGTATAGTTCTGTGTGTCTCTCAGGCATCCTGTTGTGCTGTATGGGCTTCCTCTGTTGGTCAGTGAATGTCCATATAGTTGTGGTTCAGAAGGGAGAGAGACAAAGAGAATAGCTCACTCTGCCATGTTGCTGACATCCTCTCCTGCTTGTTATACTCTTTCCAGCTTTCAGTTCCTTTCTTCAGAATCAAAATAAAAGAAGGATCTGAAGTTGGTAGAAAGAGCAGTTGAAAGAGCAGGTACTTAAGAACTGAAAAAGTGAGTTATTCTTTTCTTGGTTCAGACAGTCACATTATGTGTGTGACTTCGGGCAAAGCTCACAATCAGTCTTGACTCCATCTCCCTATCTGTATAAAGAGGCGAGGATAGGCAAGTCTTGGACCCTTCCTCCATGTCTGTCCTCAGTAAATGTGCTTCCCACCATGCAGCTGAGTCACATCTCTTATAACATTCAAGTAGCTCTGAGCTGCCATCTTCTTTTGGTAACACCAGTTTTCTCCTATCCTGAGGTTTTTCAGCCCAAGTCATTGCTAGACAACCTATAGAATGCTCATAAAGCCTACAAATAAGTCATTTTTTTCACTCATATGTGGTCATCTGCCTCGAAATCTCAGACTCTTTTGTAAGTTCTCTAGAACTGCTGACCTCGATCCCCACCACATTGCACACCACTGCCATTAAAGTCCCAACAACTTGGGTGGCATAAAAGAGGCTGTTCCTTCTGTGTGGTGCCACAGTCACCAGAGAGGCCTAGGAGTCAAAGGCAAGGCTCTGTACTCCTCACAACTGTAAACCCACAGTGAAGGCCCCTCAAGCGGCAGAGAAGGCTACTCTTCTCTCGGGGTCTTGCAACTTCACACAGTAAGAACTGCCTGAGGCCTAGAGCTATTGTTCCCGTTTACAAACTCCTTCACACTACACTCTCTCACACACACACACATGCGAGTACACACACATGCAAACCTCACAATGTGGCGGAGTCAGAAGGAGCTTCAAAAAAAGACACAAGAACCTCTAAAACTAAGCGCCTCAGGAGCAGAGGAATCTCCTCCTTCCTTTTGCCCATGGCCCACTTTATAAAGTTTTAAAAGCTTTATTGACATACAACTAACATACAACAAACAGTACATCATTAAAATGTACTATTTGCTATTTTGACTTATGTACCACCTGAGGAGTCATCAGCACAATTAAGACAAGGAACATATTTATCATCCACAGAAGTTTTTTCCAGGCCTTTTAATCCCTCCATCTTACCCCTTTCTCACGCACCTCTTTCCTGTTTCAGATATTTACAGGATGTGGACATCCTTCGGGATTGGGGCTCAGAAATCCTATTTTTAACTGGCTCCCCAAGAGATCCCTACACACTAACATTTGAAAACCACAGCCTTGGGGAAGGAGCTTCCCATCCTCTTTGAACCATATTCAATTTGGGGCTTCCATCTATAAAAGTATATCTTTTTTTTTTTCCCCACACTAAATGTCTTAAAAGTCTCCTTTCCTATTGTTTATGATATATGTTCAACTACTCCCATCGTTCTCTTCCTTTATTTTTTGGAATTCCGAGTCAGGTTTGTCACATAGTCATAATCTTTATAAATATATAGAGCCCTGACGTATAGTTCTAAGGGGAGATGGGGGATAATACAAATCTCTGAACTTCATAAAGGTCTGCGAAGTATTATAAAAGGCTCATGTTTTATCACATAGAAATTTCAAACATTTCTATATACAAAGTTTCCAAAAATGTAGCATACACGTTTTCAAAAGCCAGGATTCACCTCACAGTGCCAGATGATTAATTTAGAAAGTTATTTTTTGAAAGGTGTTCATCGTGGTTTTGTAAGTTAAGATAAATTATTTGGTCTTCACCGAAGATATGCAGTCATCCAATTCAAATGGGGCTTCTCCTCAATGGGACTGTATATGGGGCATCAAACGTGATCACCAAAAACACTAAATAATTTATATTGGTAATACTACCACTATTGACATTTTTCTTTATACTATTCCTCAAAATGTTTCTAAAGGGAATAAGACAAAAGTACAATATTTGGAAAGTCCATTGAATGTATTTATTATTTATTGTTGTAATAAAAGCAAACTGAAGTCTCACCTCCATAATTAATGCTTTAAGCTCTTATTTATTCTTTTGATGATTACAACCCCAGGTAAAATTGAGAAAACATAAAAAACCCTTAAATTTCAGGTGGAAGCATTATTATTTTACTCTTGAGCAAAGGAAAGCACTGTGAGTCATTGCCATCAAATGGAAAAATGCCTTATGGTAAATAATGCTTCCTTTTATTGTTGGTATAAAAGTCCCAGCTCTGAGAGTAACCTAGGAGGCATTGCAAGAGGTTTTCTGTGAAAAGAAATAAAACCAAATGATCAATGCAGAGACCAGAGTGTAATCCAGACTCCGAATAAAGCAGGAATTCTCATATCCTAGTTTTTATGGCCAGCCTGCCAAAAGATGTAAACATTAACTGGAGAAAGTTAGGAATGAGGATATAACTGAAGACTTTGGGCTTAGTGTTCTCCCTCTCAAGGAAATGAGGCAACCTTTCAAAGATGTCTGTTGCACTGTTTGATTATACATCCAGAATGCTTCTCTGAATTGTACAGGCTTATTAAATCTCCATAGCAGAGTAAAGAACTCTCTAAGACACTTCTGTGATTTCTAGAAGGGCCAAACTGAGTATGGCAAGATCCTTGATCACAGTGTTTTGACATTTCTTATCTAACTGATTCCAAGTAATGTCAAGATAACTCAATAGCATCCCACTTTTAAAAGTTAACGTATTAAAAATTTTGATGGAAAGATTTACCCATTCATTCATTTAACAAAACTGTTTTTAATGCCCACTATGCCCACCTACAGGGGTCTGGAAGATTCAAAACTCCTCCCTCTTATTTTCACTAGACTAGTTTATCCATGTGGCTCTAAAAAAAGACAGCAGACTTCCTTGTTACTTACCTCTTGTTCAATAAATGCCTCTTCCCTGAAGCCTTCCCTGATCATCTCTACTAGAAATTATGCCTCTCTTCTCTACACCGTATGATCATATATCAATGTTATATTTTATTTGATTTAGTTTTATATCTTATCTTTCAATATAGTCCATAAGCTCCTAGAAAGCAGGGGCCCTGACTCTACACTCTTATTCATTCATTCATTTGTTCATTCAACAAGAAAGATACTGAGCCAGGCATTACGTGAAATGTAAAGATAAGTAAGACACAGGTACCATCATCAATTTGACTTTAGTTTAATTGGTGAAATAAGACATGTAAGTAATTGCCATGACACGATTCCTATAAATTTTTTTACATCTAAAAATGTGTTAACTTGAGCTGAAGGCTTTTCCCAGCATTCCTGGCCTCTGGTTCTTTATACACCTCACATAATTTAACATGATGTCATGGACAGAGTAAGGACTAAATAAATACGTGTTGGATGAATATTTGTCGAAAGAACTTTTCAAGATTTCACTGTTAAGCCCATCAGACTTCCCTTTTGTTCATGCATTTCATAAAGCTACCCACTCTGACACTTTATTACATTTGCATTTTCAGATTCTGGTGGCTCATAATTAATATAAGGAGACAGAAGTCTTAATCGCATTACGAGGCAGCAATGTGCAATGAGAAAAGCGTTGAGCTTTGAGTCAGGGAATCTGCTCTTGACTTTGGTTCCTCCATTTCCTAGGCATGTGAATTGAATCTTACCCTCTGACTCTGGATCTCAGTTTCCTTATTTGTAAAACAGGATAATAATAGCCACCCAACAATGTTGTTGTGAGGCACAAATGAAAGAATGTGTTTGAAAGCACTTGGAATGCTGCAAAGCACTTTAAAAAATGATACTGTGAGCTCACAGACTGCTTATGGCAAGGAAAGGGTAGCATGGACTCAAACACAATAAGAACATCCCTTGCTGCTGTGCCTTGCTACCTGACTTGCTACTGACTCCTTATCGTTTTAGAAAAATCACATTTTGTCACTGAATTCCCATCTTTCTAACCACAACCTGAAAACCTTAAACAGGTAAAGGCTTAGTGGAATCCAGCATTTGATGACCTTAGCAATAGCTGTAAAATCATCAGAAATCTTTAGAATAAAAGTAACAGGTGAATATACCCTTACTAGTCACATATTAACAGTAGCTCTGGATTACAGAATGTTTTCTATGTGCAAGACAGTACGCAAAGCACTTCATAGACATTATCCTAGCAGAGTATATGGATAGAGATCTCAAAGTGCAGTCAGAAGATGCCACGTGACTGGGGCTGCACCAAAGTATAGAATGGCTCCTGGAGTCTGGAGACCTGAATTCAAGTTTAGGCTTTGTCCCTTAACCTAAGTGATTTCTAGTACCTGATTTCTCAACTATTTAAAAAGAAAAAAAAAAAGAGAGAGAGCCAGTGTTAGTTTCTGCCACATAGGTTGTTGTGAGAAGTGAATTTACTAATTCATGGAGGGCATACGCAGCATGTCTGGCTCAATATTGGGTATTAGTATTTTTTCATCTCTTCCACCTACTAGCAAATTACCTTGGACAAACTACCTAATCCCTCCAGATCTCAATTTCCTTATCTGTAAAATGGGTATAAAAACAATGTTTTCATCATTGTGCTATTGTGAGTTTTAAATTATATAATATGTAACCTGGAAAACACTGTAGATATTTTAATTCATATTATCACCTCATTCTCCTTCTCTTCTGTCACTTTACTCTTCATACTAAGCACAGTAAATTACAAGGATATGCTCTCTGGAAAGAAATTCTGGAACAAATTAAAATTCCAAGAAAACTGTACATTCTATCACCATGAAAAGTTATCTCCCTTGGGCTGTGAATGCTTCAGATCAGTGGCAGCCCCAGAGCCATCTCACTTTACAGGATGATGCCGTGTGGATTAGTGTCAGCAATCCGTAAGATGCAGTGGGTTGTAGGACACCTGGCGCCCATCTCCTCTTCTGCTGATTCACTGGACAGCAAAGAACA